GACAGATCATTTTGAGCAAGATCAGATCATTCTGAGCAATTTATATAACCCTAATTTTGTTTTATGATACTTTTACATTAGCAGATAGGAAATCCACTACTGAAATGTGAATTTCACATTTTTGTGGACAACAAAAGAATTACACAAATAAAAACCACCAAATGGGCTGTTTATACAGAAGTGCTACATAAAACATTTTACAAACTAAGTGACATTCAATACCTAGATGAGCTAGAGTGTGAGTGGTGTCTTCAGGCATGACAAAGTCCACATATATGCAAAAATATAAATTCAAGTTTATCCATGTAAATTTAAATTTGTCAATTTAAATTTAGATATTTAGCCATCAGTAAATGCCAAATGGAGTTTATTCCACTAATAAAATAATGATACAAGATGAGGAAGTTTACTAATGTTATATATTAATTTAGCAGATTAAAATAGAAAAAAGATTTACACAGAAGTACATTCTTAAAGGAATACTGGATAATTAAAAATCATGCTCAGAAAAGGAAATTTAAAAAACTGTTATTAAGCAAGCCAATTTCACCAAGCATCATGATCGGGAGTAAGCACTGGATGCACGTCCACTAAAGGCAAGGCTGAGACAAGGGGGCCAGTCACACTCCTGCCATGCACCACTGCACCTGTGTCAGCCAGGACCAGAAGAGGGAAAAGCAAATTCCCATTAGCAATTTCATCATGACACCTATTTACAAGACATTCCTAGACTTATGTGAAGCAATTATAAAGCTTTCCTGAAGGACATAACAAAGACGTGATCAAAGACTGACAAACCCAATGCTTACTGGAAGATGTGGTGACATAAACACCTCAGTGATTTAGAAATTCAGAGCAATTCAAATGCAAAAGAAATGTGGGATTTCATATGAAAATTGTGCCATTGTGCCAAAGAGAGCCAACATAATTCTCAATCGAAAAACAAAATGAAGGAGCTTGCCAACGACATGTGAACCTGTTACTTGTGTGAAACTTTAACATGAATGAAATAAAATGGCTTCAATAAGACAGACACAAAGACTCTGAATTAAAGAGATATAAACATAATTTTAAACAAAAAAGATTAGGACTTAATGGAACACAACAATTTGAAATCACTTCAGGTGAGGCCTTCTAAAACAAGATCAAAAAGCAGAGAGCATGAAGGAAAGATTTATGTTTCATTCCAAAAAAAAAAACGGTAAGATAAAGATACCTGGGCATATATAAAGAACTGAGAAATATGAAATAGCTTCTAAAGATATATCAAGGGAAAACTGAGCAAAATATGAAAATCCATTTTTATCTTCACAAAATAATGAAATTTATTCACAAGTGAAAAGTTGAAATACAAAGGATTGTCATTTTACCCAAAATTTTCAAAATACAAAAAAATTACAGTACCAAATTTTGCTTACATTGGGGGAAATCTTACATTGTTGGTGGGAAAGGGTACCTTTGCAACTTTTAGGGGAGGGCAACCAGCCAGAGCCTATCAAAGTATGAAATGCACCATCTGTGACACAAGACTAACACGTCAAGTCACCCAAGCCTGGGAAATATTCAAACACTGGCAGTGAAGTTGGCCTGCTCAGAGGTGGCCACTACAGCATTCTTTTTTTTTTCTGAGACAGAGTCTCACTGTGTTGCCCAGGCTAGAGTGCTGTGACGTCATCCTAGCTCACAGCAACCTCAAACTCCTGAGCTCAAGCAATCCTCCTGCCTCAGCCTCCCAAGTAGCTGGGAA